TTTTTGGGCTCCTGTTCTCAAATTCAAGACCAGTCTATGCCTACCATACTACAACTCTACACACATGCGATCATAGGATAGGCACTTTGAGCACACACAAAAAAAAAAATTGTTTGGAAAAACCGGCGGGGCAGCAGGAGGGAGGCTTGGGAGGGAGGTCAGTTAGTCTGTGGCTCCGCTCACTTGACTTGATGCAAGGCGACGCAAGGCGATGCAAGGCAACGCAAGGTGATGTCATGCTATGTAAGGTTAGGTTAGGTTAGTTAATAAAGGGGATGCATGCATGACTGAAGTAGTTGCCTGGGGGCGTCTGCGTGCTGCGTCTGCGTTGACTTGCGCAGCATGTTGCATCGCCTGTTGCTTCCTTGCATTTTGCATTTTGCATCATTGATGCTAGCTAGCAGGCTAGCTCCAGAATGTTTGATGTGGTATGTCGGCGGCTGTGTTAAGGGTAGCCGTAGTTCCGGCTGCATCAGCGCAGCGATGTTCGCATATGTAGTGTGTAAGGTACGTAGGGACGAGGTCTGGTGAGTGATGCTCAAGGATCGGTCGGCGAGCCGGCTTATGTCGTTTGTAAGAAGCCAGACCAGACCTTTTTATCATAAGGTTTCAGGAGATAACACCAAGCAAAGCAAAGCACGAGCAAAGCTGGATGTGTGATGTGTGATGTGTGATGTGTAAAGTGTGGTATGATTCACCAAAACTATCTATGTATTCCACCCATCGCCAATTTTGTATGTGTCTCACTGGGTAGTCTCCTTTTCCCCTCTATAACCACCCACTACGCGTCCGTCTATATGTTCATTTGTTCCGCTGGCTATCGATCCTTCCAATCGTGCTGCGGCCCAAAGTTTGGTATCATGTACAAGAAAAAAAGAGATATTAAAATCCAAAATAAAATGCTGCTCGTAAAACGCGTTTCGCCATGCATGCATGCATGCATGTGATGATCAATCATACCATCCAAATCCATCCATCCAAAACCAAAACCCACGTGGTATATCCAAAAATATGCAAATAATATGCAAGAAAAAGCGAGTGTAAGAAGACAAGAGAAGAAGTGAAGTTGTGGTTGAAAAAAGGTAGATGAGATGAGATGAGATGAGATGGGATGGGATGGGATGATTAAGAGGAAGTGAGACCGAAATGACCAAAGAAATCAGGCACTCTTCACTCAAACCCTCCTCTCACCCTTCTCCTCCTCCATCTCCGTCGTGGTTCCGAATCCGTTCACCGTCCTCTCATCGTCGCTCATGATGGAGATTGCAGGGATGTTGGCATGGGCCTCCTTCGTCTCCATCATCTCCTCGTTCTCCTCCGTGACACCGGCAGGAACAGCAACCTGCGGCTGCTGCTGTACAGTCTTGCCCTCTTGCTGCTCCTGTCTCGCCTTGGCAGCCGCCATCATCTTTGCGAGCGCCTGCGCCGCCTCCGCAGCGTACTTGCACCTCGCCCTGACCAAGTGGCCATACTTCCAGAAGATGAAGGGGAAAGGCACGCAAGCGAGCGCGAGGAAGGCAGGGATGGTCGAGGCCCAGTGAATGCCGAGGTCGGCATACATGTAAGTGGTGAAGAGCGGGAAAGCGGCGCCGAAGAGCGAGCGGAGGACCGAGTTGGCGGCCAGCACGGAGGCGGCGAAGATGGTGTACGAATCGATCAGGTAGCCCATGAGACTGAGGAAGACCATGACCAGGCCGCCGGCGAAGAAACCGGATGCGATGATGGGCACGGCCCAGTGGATCTCAGGACCGTTGGTCCATGCGAACCAGAAGAGGCCGACGGGGAGGAGAATGGATCCGACGATGGCGAGGGGCAAACGGGCCTCGGGAGGCGCCATGCCGCCGTGCTTGTCAGCAACGCGGCCGTAGCGCTTGTTGTCGAACATGGCGTAGCCAACCGAGAGCATCATGCCGACGGCGACACCGACGAAGGCGAGGCCGCCGATGCCAGGGCTCCAGCCACGGATCTGCTGGAAGACAATAGGGAAAGCGGCGAACATGAGGTAGAGAGTGCCGTAGACGATGGCCATGTACAGCGAGGTGAGAAGGACGATGGGCTCGGTGAAGAGCAAGATCCAGGGGCGGAGGAGCGAGATCTTGATCTGTTGTGCGAAACTTTGGTGGCGAGTCTGCAGGTCGAGGCGGGAGACGTAGAGCTTGCCGGTCTCCCTGCTGAGGTTCTTGGCACGGCGACGGAGGATGACGGGAGCGTAGGTCTCGGGAACAGTGAGGGAGCAGGCGATCCAGAGGACACCAGTAAAGATGGCCATAACACCTTCAACCCAGCGCCAGCCCTCAGCTTGTCCCAAAAAGCCACCGACAATGGGGCCGATGGAGGGACCTAGGAAAGGAGCCATGGCGAAGACACCAGAGGCAATACCACGCTCTGTTGATAGTCAGTATGGGAAGTGATATGGGATGAAAGAGAAATGACATACCCTTGGCAGTAAACATATCAGCGATAACACCACCCGAGTTGGTCAAGGGGGAGGCACCAAAAGTACCGCCAAAGAATCGGAGGATGATGAGGGTCTCGATGTTCTGGGCACCAGCAGCGCCAGCGTTGAATGCTGTCAAAGCCATGTAGGTGAGGAAGAAGAGAATCTGACGACCGTAGAACTCGCTGAGAGGCGCCCATAGTACCGGACCGACGGCGAATCCAAGGACGAAAAGCGAAACACCCAAGATGGCGACCTCTGTGCTGACCCCAAACCCAATGATGATCTCCCTGATGCCTCCGGAAAACGCGGTACTGACGAAGGCTACGGCCAAGGTGGCAACGGCCTGTAGGATAGTGATGGTCCACTTCTTCCAGTTGGGATATTGCATGGCGTTGTGTCCGTCGACGGGTAGGTAGTCGACGATGTAGGGCTTCTCTTGTGTGCCCTCGCCCTCATAGTGGTGGTTGCGGATGGCATCGGTGATTCCGCCAGGGTTGAGTAGGAGGTACCAATGCGAGACTCTGCTGACTTGGGTGTTTTGACATTCGATATCCATTGCCGTCGCGGTCGAAGACCCGGACGACTGCGGTGTGCCGGCAGCCATGATGACTGATGGTTAGGCCGGTATTAGGGAGTATAGTATGTTCGGATAGGTAGACGCTAATACAACAACGATAAAGAGGGTGTAATGTGTACTTGAAGTGATCGACTGCCAAAAAAGGCAAAGTGAGCTGGATGGGTTAGAGCCTCAGGAAACGGGCCATGCATGTGTTGATCAACGCTTGGACTAATATATTCTCCTCTCTCTCCCCTTCTTGGGCAAGACGAGCCGGGGACACACAGCCTTATATTTATTCGAGACAGCAACGAGCAGGCATAAAACCGACCCCGGTACTAGATGGTCCCGAGGTGCATCAACTCCACCTTGTGGCTCCTCGTGGGCCTGGTTCGTGAATTTCATCCGAACAGGGTACGGAGAGTTGGTGTGTAAGGCCCCATCATGCCGGGACCAGATCCACGAAACGATCACCGGTAAACAGCCATAGCCCTGTATTTGTCAGTACATAACCAGGGGGCGATGCCCGTATGGATGGATCCATAGTCGGGCACAAAACCCGCCGGTACCTCGGATCTGGCGATATGTATCTGATTAGCAACTGAGCGGTGACAACCTCGTAGTAACTTTGCGACTGCCGAACAAGACGGACACCGTGACGAGAAAGGGATGGTACGAATTGGTGACAGCGGTGGAGGCAAAGTGATTTGTCCAGAGCTGAAACTTAGGAAGTGAAGACGACGGGGCAGCCAAGCCAAAGGTTCGAGAGATCCGCGCCGAGAGGCTCTTTCGCCGTTCAGTTTCGTTCACTTGGTGGAGTGGCACGTCATCCCCTGCGAGGGGCCAGGTGGTGCGGTGCGGTCACTGCGGTGGGGGCAGTACGGCCACGGGTGAATAGCCAAGCTCCGTGATCCGTGGGGGGAGAAGTCTAGCGTAAAACGTGGTTTGATAAGCTGGAAGGAAGCGAATATCAAAGTCGTATTTGGGTTTGAGGAGGAGACACAACGGGGACGAACGACGGGCGGAAAAGCCGCGTACGAGTCCGTCGCGAACTCTCCCTCCCATGAGACCCCAGACATCACTCACGGCCGGTCCTGCTGTGCGACTGGGAAGAGCTTGATTGGGTTGCCATGTCGACAGTTTGAGAAAGTGGCCTGACAAGGCTGCTGGGTGTCGCACCAATGACGAGAACAAGACGAAAGGGAATAGGCCGGAAGAGGCAGTGCTCATTGCGGTGTTGGGTATTGTGCATCTGGACGGCATTTGCTGACGTTGTCGTGACAGACCCGATCAACACCAACAACACAGCAATTTGAATCCATCATCGCCGGCGAGGGGGGGGATGAAACCCTATGCGCGTCGTCGAGGTGTTCGTCTCATGTTTTTGCTGTTGGTGATGGATTATAGCCGGACTTCCCACTTCTCGTTCTCGGCCGAAAGGCAGGCCGTCAATATCGAGGTTGACCGGTTATTGACGATGTGAGTGGAAGGAAGTTGCAACAAGACCTGACGTTGCCGTATCCGCCAGCCATCCGAAATGGTGGGCTTGTCAGCGTCGCATCATGCAACTGCCCTACAGCACCCGGCTATAGCGCCTTACAGCGGCAAGAGCGCCCTACGGTACGGCGGTTCCTTTCAGGCCGGGCGGGAGGCAGGGGCCGGGGCACGTCCGAATCCGATGTGCTTATGTTATCTAGCGTGCACATTGGATAAAATCCGATCCGGGACATGGCAAGCACCGACATGCCGACATCAGCCCCACCACGATCGGAGTTTTCGCGCGCGCGGCGGGGCTTTTTGTCTTTTGTCCAAAAGCCTTGGCCAGAGCCTCAACAGTCACTCGTCCAAAAAACCTCGAAAGATTTGGAAATTGCAAAGGTTCCATATTCCCACTTTGACCTCTCCGAAAAACCCACCAAAAACCCACGAGACTGGTCCACCGCCAAATTTATGCTTACCGCAATATGGATTCAGAGCGGGCGGCTTGACGGCTTCCTGGAATTTCCATCCTTGAAATCTTCACAAACCGAGGCTCAGCGGCTGGTCCATGACTCGCTGTTAACCGGGACGGGATTCGAGAAAATCCAAATATTGACCGGCCAATTCTCCGGGATCAGTGACAAGCTCCGCTTGGCACGGTGCGGTGCGGTGTGGTGAAATCACCATGGGCGATGGGCAATGGAAATGGCAATCCGGACTACCTCCGGATCTTCGATAGGTATGTATTTCGATACCGTGGCCTCGGGTTGCCGACTGATCTTATGGAAGGATCTGGTCAGCAACGGATCATTCATCTGGCGATTTGTGCCCGGATATAAAGAGGAATCCGATGAGCAGGTTATGGCAACGCATCCCGGACTTGAGATTATCATCAGCCCACTGGGCATTATTAGTAAAGTGCTTACCCGTGAGATCCGACACTTGTCAAATCGTGTCAACTAACGACACTCCAACAAACACCACTGTCATACTGGCATTGGTATATATATATGGTCGTAACTTCGGCGTTACGGCCTAACTCACATCGCAACTGGATCGACAAAGCAAGATATGACCGGACATGGGGCCGTAGAGGTGGTGAAACACTCAAAACGGTTGTTTATGAGCTTTGGAGGCTTTGTTCCAAGTTTCGTAGAAACATTGGCTGATATCTTGCGTACGAAAGCTAATCATCAAAGCCACCCCATTCACCATCCTCCTCACTATCACTCTCACTATCACTCTCACTCTCACTCTCACTTTCATCACTCACCTCCTCCTCCTCTTTCACTTGCCCCTCTCCCCCCTTAACAACCGTCCACCTCCTCCCCTCCTTCAAAACTGGCAACCCCTCCTCATCCCTCACAATCTGCCCTTCCTCATCCCTCTGATATGGCTCTTCGTCATCGCCACCCTCAACCTGATATTCAACCGAACTCTCATCTTCTACCCCCTCCAACTCCTTCAAATCCACCGCCTTCTTCCCCGTACTCTTCAACGTAGGAATCCCATTCTCATCTCTGACAATCCTCCCTTGCTCATCCCTCACGAATGGTCCTTCCGGGTCTTCTTCCTCTGCCCCTTCACCTTCTTCTTCATGCTTCCCAGTCCCAGTCCCAGTCCCAGCACCACCACTCAAGTAAACAGCATCATCCACGCTCCCATCCCTCACAAACCCCGCCACAAAGAAGCCCATGACTCCCCTTCCATCATCCCGATAATAAGCTCTGATAACCGCATCCCTCACCTCCTCCTTTTCTTTCTCGTCCATTTTTTCAGTTACCCCCTCCACCGCCATCGCTTCGCCGGCTTCGCCTCTAACATCCCACCGCTTCATCCCGTCCACTTGTTCTTCCCGCTTTAGTATCTTCCACCCTCTCCTTCTCGCAACGTCCGACGCCAGAGCGCGCAAGACGACGTGCTCGTTTTCGCCGGCGTGGATGGAGCAGGTGCTGTAAGTAATGCGCTTGGCGGCAGGGAAAGACATGGCGTGTTGCAGCAGGACCAACTGGAAGGAGGCGAGCGATGCGATGCGCGCTTCGAGGGGCTTGGGAGGAGACGGGGGATGGCGACGCCGTCGTCGTCTATTAGGACTTTTTTGATTGGGGGTTCCTCCTCCTTGGTTTCCGTAGTTGGGGGTTGCTTGCGCTTGTTGTTCGCTTTCCCCTTGGGACCTGTCTTGGATGCGGGAGTAGGGCCGGAGGAGGATGAGGAGGATGAGGAGGAAGGACCGGATGGTAGATGGAGGGTGGGCGCGTCGTCACGACCGACGATTCCCGAACCGGAGCAAGATGGGTCAAGAAGTAAAGCGCCCACGTTCCGGTACTTGGTGTCCAAAGGGTTAACTTTCAGAAAGTCCTTACCGGCGTTGACGACGGTGAAGGTGTCGGAGCCGGCGGTTTTGACCATTTTCTGGAGGGTTTTGGCGCGGTGGGGGTCTTTTTCGAAGGCGTAGATTGTTGTAGGCGTTGTCGTTGTCGTTTCAGCCTTGTCGTTCTTCTTCTTTCCCTTTCCTTTCTTGGAAGTTTTTGAGGAACCATCAAAAACAACCGCCTTCCCATCCTCCACCCTGCTTGCCACAATCGCCGCCAAATGCGTCGTCTTGTTCCCCGGCGCCGCGCACGTGTCCATGACGTCTCCGTCCCTCTCCGGCCTGGGATCAAGCAAGTAAGCAGGAAAGCAACTCGCCTTATCCTGCAAGATGATCTTGCCGGACTTGTAGGCCTCGGTCTTGGTGAAGTCTGCTACCCCCGGGCAGGCGGCGATGAGGTTGGGAATGTGGCCGTCGATGTGAATCACCTTCTTCCCCCGCTTTCCTCCTTGTTGAGAAGAAGAAGAAGAAGAACCAAAAGCATCAGCGGCCTTGATAACATCCGCCACTGTTTCCACAACCTCCCACCCCTTGAACGTCGTAGCCAGCTGCTCTTCCACCGTCGATTTCAGCGTGTTCACCCGGATCCATCTAGGATGCACCGGACATCCGCCCCTGGCCTCAATCTCCACCTGCGTCCGCAGCGCGTCCAGGCTGGTGCACTTGCGTCTGATCCGGGCCCTCACAAACTCCGAATTCAGACGGGCTTTGTGCCTCTCGATGGAAACCCTCAGACCGTGGGTGGCGGGCAGGGCGATTCCCGACTTGGAAAGCAACAGGTCGTGCACAAGCAGGAGCGAGAGAACGGGCGTGAGTTTTCGCTCGTGCTTGAGCAGGTCCGCGGCCTCGACGACTTCCTTGAGGATGGCGCTCCATTTGCTGGTTTCGAGAGCTAAAGCGTAGACTTGGGCAGGAGGCGACTTGAGGGACTTGTCTTTGAAGATGCGCGACTTGAGACTGCCGCCGTGGGAGGCGGTGGGACCACCGGCGCCGCCCGTGAGGATGGCGGCTGTCTCGTGGTAGAGGGACATGCTGTGTGTGGGTTGTTGTGGTTGTGGCCTCGCAGTCGGTGGTGTTTTGTGTTGTTTGATTACGTGGTATAAGTCGAGAGACTGTTAGTATGAAAAGGATGTTTCGAAATATGAGACGGTCTCTTATTGATTGACCCTGTCTCAAGATGCCGTTTTGGTGAGGTTTGAAGATGTCGTCAAGTTCATCTGAAGTTTCCTTCGAGCAGTGTATTTACTAACGAATAAACTTTTTTTATGCAGGCGTTCACAGTTTTGTCTCTTGTGCACTGGTTGTGCAGTTGTCTCCACCCTTCTAAGCGCAAAGCTTTCCTTCCGTGCTTCCCTCCCGTCGAGCTTCCCCAACGGTTCCCTTTTTCAGCACAGACCCCCTGCTGTCTCCCCTGTAATTTGACCCCTGAAGGTTGAACCAACAGGCCGGTACACTACAACAAACACCACGGCACCACGACCCTCGTCTGGATCATCACGAACCCTGAAAAATGTTTGTTTGACAAGCACAACAGTTTCTATTCTTATGATTCATCTAGCCCAAAGAAAAGGCTTGTATGCTTAAGGTCCGTCTTATTGTGAGATATATACCGTGTGAGAGATCTACAAGATATGTTGCCTTCGCTAACGTACAACGTAACACATATCCTCATGACCAACGCAAACAATGTTTCTTGTCCCAATTAAACATACTTCACACAAGCATACTACAAGCATGCAAAAGCATAGGTAGCACGGAATGTCACTGTAGTTCAAAGTCTGTGTTGTGTATATGTCTGTGATCTCCCAAATGGGTCCTCTTCTCAAGAAGAGAAAGAGGCCGCTAATCAATTGACCTCCTCAAAAAGAGGCAGGCCTGAAACTCAAAGCTAAAATATGTGGATGTTGGGTGTATCAAGAATCCCCCTAACCAAGCGAGGGTAAAGAAGTGAAAGAGAAAGCAACATGTACAAAAACTGAAAACCAAAAAAAAGGTATCTTTTGAGAAGTGAAGTGTGAAGTGTGAAGTGAAGAATGGTGCGCCCTGTCTGCCTTTCTACACCAGCCATCCCATGGGGCGTTGTTTCCTCCTCTTTTTGAGAATGTTGGTCATTTCAAAAAAAAAAAAATCGGTTTGCAGACCTGCCTGAGAGCCTTTCCTTGTATCTCATACCGAATGCGCCCCCTCTCCCTTTCTTTTTCCCTTTCTAGATAGTCCCTAATCCCATGAGGTTCTGCAATGAAACCTCCGCCCAAAGTGTAAATGTGAAGAAATGAAATTGAAATCCTTTTTTGGTATATGTCCAGAGAAGACGTTTATCTGCGGAACCTTCCAGCAGGGGTGCGACGGTGGTGCATGTAGTGGTTGTGAACATGGCGGCGGCGGCGGCTCTCCTCGTGAACATCACGGGCCAAGACCTTGCCGCTCTTGGTGTAGACGGACAAAGCCCAGTCACCACCGCACTTGTCGGCGTCGTCGCCATCGCAGGTCATACTGCACTTGGAGTCATCCAACTCCTCAACCTTGGAAAGCTCGTTGCCGCAGTAGCATTCGCCGCCATACTCAGTGCCAGCGACGCTGAAGCCCTTGGAGCTGCAGTGAGCAACACAAGCGGTGTTGTTGACCCGGCCGAGGTTGGCGCGGATCACTCCGCTGAGAACACGGTCCGAGGCGTCCTTGTAGCAGCCGGCATACTTGAAATCGCCAACGGCCTTGCCGTCAGTGGCAGCATCAGTAGGCTTAGCAGCACTGACAGCAGAGATGTAGACGGTCGTGGTGGACTGGACAGTGGTCGTCTGGATGACAGTGGTGGTCTGGGCCTGGCTTGTGACGGGCTGCTTGACGACATTGGTGGGGCTGGGCGCAGAAGACTCGATATCGACGGCCAGGTTGTTGCCGCTGCTGCCGCTGCCGCTTCCGCCGGTACCATAGTTCCAGCCCTTGATGGGGTTGTTGCCGGGAAGCTTGTCCAGCTTGCCGTCAATCTTCTCATCGATAGGGCACTCGATCTTGCACGACTTGCTCTCATCGTTGACACCGCCAATCAGACCAGGGCAGGTGTGTATGCCAGCATGGCCAGCGTTGCAGTTGTCAATGATTTGCTGAAGGGCCTCTTCGTCCCAGCCGGAAACGAAGTCACCGTGGACAGAGAAACCAGTAGCATCACCGTTGGCAAAGACGAAGGGGCTCTCCTTGCCAACAAGGTCCTTGTAACGATCGACCAAACCGTGAGTGTTCCAGTAGGTCTCGAAGAAGATGTGAGGAGTGTGAATCCATCCCTCGGGGCAGTCGTGCTTGTCATCACCCGCAGCAGTAGGGAAGGCCATGTTGTTCTTGTAGTCATCAAGACCGGCCTTGGGGTTGTAGCACGACGGGAAGTGGACATCGGTTCTCATGGGCGAGGCATATGCATCGCAGTCCTCGAAGGGGAATCCCCAGCCTTCGCCATCTTGGTTGGTCTTCATGCCAGCCATGGAACCATCAGAGCCCTTGGGCCAGCTTGGTGGGTTGAAGTTGGGGCGGGGGCAGGTGATGGTAGCGGCAGTGATAGGTCCCTTGGAAGGGTCCTGGTTGGTGTCCTTGCCGTAGCCAGCGCCCGGTGGGGGAGACCTCAACATGGCATCACCGCTAACCATCTTCAAACCCAGAGGGAAGGCCTTGATCGGATCATTGGTCGCCTCGAAGCTGCTTCTTGTCAGTGTCCAAGCGACCTTTACAAGAAAAGATTAAGGAATACCTACAAGTAGTACACGTTCATGTAGTAGAAAGGAACCTGCTCGAGCTTGCCATCCTTGGGGTCCTTGAAGTAGAGAGTTGGGAACCAGTAGTTGCTCATGTCGGCCTTGGGCAGGGCCGTGGTGCATTCAGACTTTCTAAGGTGCTCTCCGGTAACGTTAAGACCGAAGTTGCTGGCACCCATGATTGTGTGAACGTGAGCGGAAGCGGTACCGGGGGAGATGATCGGGTCGGCACGGCAAGTGGTAAGGGGACCATTTCCGTAGTGACGCAAGACGGCAAAGGTGCGTTTATCCTTGGCGGCAACCGAGGCGACGAGAGCCGCAAGGACAGCAGTGGTGAAGATCATGTTGAAATCGTTTGTCGTTCTCGTAAAGTGGTATGTGTCGAAGAAGTGGTAAAGGTAAAGTCTCGTCTATCTGTCTCTAGGACCGACCGTCTTGACTAAAAGTCTGATATTGGAGCTGAAATCGTGGGCGCTAAAACCGGAGCACCGAGAGTAACCGATATAATTGCCGGGTGATGTTCTCGATGTCGTGCTTGAACAATGCCAGTTGTTGTATCCAGCTCAGCGGATAAAGCACACACAAAGGGCCAAGATGAAGAGGCTTGTTGTTGAAGAAAGGATAGGACGCGCTAAGCAGGCTCGGCAGCTTGAGGTCAAAGGAAGGTGAGGGAGAACGGGCAAGGAAGGGAATGACAAAGCCCACGATAGTCGAGGATGAGTGACGGGAAGACCAGATGAGAGGGTGAGGAGGAGGAAGGGCATCGTGGGCTTATTATAAGACGGCCCATTGACTGTGCCTGAATAGGACATGGGGTGTGGACGTGTGGTATCTCTCTCACTGGTAACCTCTCTGACCACTCAACGCTCACCAACGCAATCCACCCACCCATCGGAACAGGATGCGGGCTGGGCGCAACGAGATGGAAGTGGTGGAAGTGAAGGGGAGGAGAGGCAAACAGCTGGGATTTGCCGGCGCAGGGCTGGGCGGACAGTGGTGGGTGTGTTTACCACACAGTACTGTGCCAGTAACTTTTTGACTTTCAGACTTTTTTCATGTCAACACCCAGATTGGTTATCCATGACTTGTATCTCGGCCTCCGATGAGAGGTTTGGCTTTTTTTTCTTTCTCATCACCTTGTCACGGCGTCGGCTCTCATCACCTGTTTGACAACCCCGCAGGCAGCTTGACTCACCCGAGATTTTCAGGCACTGATGAAGGCCTCGACGGAAGTCATGATGCACGCCTAGAGGTACCTTGGCCATGTGCTGGTGTTGATCACTCGCGTGGCCGACAACAGGAACAATTGTTCCATTCCACACCTTCGTTCGCTTGTTCTGGACCCGCCCGTGAACCTCCGAAGCCCACCTGAACAGCCCCTGGAAGCCCCCACCTGTCGCGCCGTGATGGGCCTAGCGGGGTCTGGTCCAGCGATTGGAATGGATCGCAATCGGCCATGACCCCTCCCATTAACGCAATGGAATGACTGCCGAGGACATGGAACCGCCATCGTGAGGCGTATCGCGGTTAGTTCAATGGTCAAGCGCAGCTGGGCAGGTGTCAAATATCGGCTTGACACAAGACCAAGGTTTGGTGCCTTTCTTTGTGACTGAGAAACAGGTGGAATGAGAGGAAGCATGACGGCGACGCGATGGGCCGCGCGGTTCAGTTGGGCAGTAAAACAAGAAACAAGAGGCGGGCTGAGTGAGAAGGAGGGGTCGACGAGGACGGACGATATTTTCTCTCCCATGTCACTCACGGCCACCACTGACACAATCGGCAGTCAAGCCTGGAAGATGAGTTGGGACCTGAATTTGGGACTCAAACCGACAAGGTGCAAATGTACGCAATTCGGGCGGAGAGGCTTGGGACAGACAGAAGGGGGGACAAGCCAAGGTCGTACCTGCATCTTGCAGCCGCCACTAGCCAGTGATTGGGCGGTTGGTGGACATTTCCCCTGGATTGCGACGACTTGGTTGCAACCTGCGGGTATTCGGACACCATCCATCAGGAAATGGGTGTGCTGGCACGATTGGGAGAGGAGAAGAATGGGGGGGAGAGAGGTCGTGGGAGGTTGTCCTCGGCTGGAGTGGACGGACATTCAGGCGGCCTGTGAAGTCATTGGGAGGATTGATGAAGGTGTGGTGGTTTGTTGGCTGAATACGGTATCAGAGCAGTTTCTAGCGAGAGAGCATTTTGCTTAGAAGATCCTGAATCATGTTCGCCACCCCGCTCCGTACCAAGTCCCGCCAAGTTCACTGTCCATCTTTGCTTTCTCGGCCTCTTTTGCC